AATTATGGGACCTGTAAGTGGATATATGTTCTTATTTGCATATGCATATTAATGATGAATTGTGACATTTATTTGCATGTGATGTCTGCATTGTTTTACTACTGCATTATCAAGTAATTTTGCTCTGTCGTTTCCTTACAGAATGACAGTCCATATCAAGGGGGTGTGTTTTTCTTGACCATTCATTTTCCTACAGACTACCCTTTCAAACCACCTAAGGCAAGAATAATTAACTATTTAAACAACCTACGGGTTATTCTGGCTGTAAGATTGACATTGTTTCATGATATTTTGCATTCCCAGCAGTTTTTTTTTGCACATACTGTAGTCAGATGCCACAACCGAAACCTGCTGATATTCTGAAGATGTGCAGTAAAATATCAGTGGTAGGTTTGAAATGTATGTGGTCTGATCATCTGTTTCACCCTCTAATTTATAGGTTGCATTCACCACAAGAATTTATCACCCAAATATTAACAGTAATGGCAGCATCTGTTTGGATATTCTAAGGTCGCAGTGGTCTCCTGCGTTAACTATCTCTAAAGGTGAGCCAACAGAAAAGAAGCGCATTGAATGTACCTTTTTCTTAAAAGTCATTTTATGGGATCGCCAAGATGTGCACTGATAATGTTTATGCCATGCGCCAACCTCTCTCTTCTTTCTGTTGCAGTTCTATTGTCCATCTGCTCACTGTTATGTGATCCAAACCCAGATGATCCATTAGTGCCAGAGATAGCACGTATCTATAAAACAGACAATGAAAAGTAAGTATATTTGTGTCTTAATCCTCAAAAATAAAATGTTTAAAGTTATATATTAAAAAACAACAAAGACAGTTTTACAGTTTTAATCTAGGCTGATTATTCTTTAGCTGATGTGAATAATAGAGATACCTTTTACGTAGTGTAAATTGCTCTTCTTAGGTATAATAAACTTGCCAGGGAATGGACAGAGAAATATGCCATGTTATAGGGGTTAAGGTGAGCAAGGCATTATGGGAGAGTGTCTTTGTGTGAGCATGAAAGGTTTACTAATCTCTAGACATCACCAGGTTGCAGTACTGTTGGTCACTGGTTGGCATTCCTACTACTGGATGCACTAATGTTATTAATGGATGCAGCTTTTTAAAATTTTATTATACATGAGAAAAACACTATCATTCAGAAATAAATGCAGTCTTACCAAGCATAATAGACTTCTCTCAAAACATAAAATCTCACTGACCCCAAATTTTTTGAATGGTAGTGTATAACTGGTAAAAAAGTCATTTTATTTTGATTTTTTTTTTTCTGTTTGCTAAAATTAATATTGTGCATGGGACATGTTTGCACATAAACTGGTGTGATTCATAATTTTAAAAAAATTGTTTTTCCTGCAAAATCTTTATTTCTGCATTATTAATTTGGTTGTGATTTAATTCATTTCCATGACTTCGTTTCTATGAAAAGTCCACTGGAAAAATGCTATAGAAATTCTGTGGCTCTCACACATACTAGCCAGTTATAGCCCATTTATGTTTTTTTTTGTATGGTTTTATCATAGGTTTAATGACAAATGTTTAGTTGAGGTAAACAGTTCAGGTTTTTACTATCACCAAAGTAAACACCAGAAGTAATGTTTGGAGTTGCAGTGTAGACGTGAAGAGGATGCCACTGTGTTTGACCTTGAGCCGTTTCTGCAGTTTATGTTGGCGTGAGCCAAGTTGGCAGACGGTCTGCTTACCCAGCATGTGTGACTGCCTCTGCAACAGCGTTTGCGCCAATGCTACACATCATTTCTCTTTCTTCTCTTTCTCTTTCTCTCACACAGGTACAACAGAATAGCTCGGGAATGGACTCAAAAGTATGCCATGTGATACCTGAAGAACATCAGACCAATCTGCAGTATAGCTGGAAAAAAAACTTTTTTTTTCTTCCCCTCAATGAATTGACAGTTCCCCGTGTATTCAGACCATATCAGTTCTGCTTGGTTATTTTGACCCCCTTCAACCTTCATTCATATGCTGTAAAAAGACCACGACATTGCAAAGATCACCAACTTTATGTTCAGAAAAATGCTCGTGTCAAAGAAGCATGTTTTAACTACGAGCTCAGCCATTTTTTATTGAGATAAGAAAAAGAAAAAAAACATAACTAAGGTGAAACCATCGAACGCTTCTGACTCACGCCACTGGCTAGAGGTGCTACTTAAGAAAAAGAAACAACGATTCTGCAGGTGCCAGTGTACCTCAAAGTCGATCTGTTGCTCGGTTGGCCTTCATGTTTTTATATGCTTTTACAATAGCAATGAGAACTATGGTCTGTGAAATATATTCTTGCTTATAACTTGACTGTTTCTTACTAAATCAGTCGCGTCATTGTATCAGCAGTTACGAAAAAATATATTTTGCATGTTAATGGAACAATTAAAGTAATTGGTCTGTGGTCTGCCAAAAATGAATATCTGCAGACAATGTTAAGCGAATACATGTCCACTTTTAGAGTCTGAGAACTTATTTTGTTACTCCTTTTCTCTCCTCTTTTTGATGTTTTTAGAATGGGGAGCTATTAGTTTGTCTATCCTCCTAAACACTGTTCTCTCATTGCACTGAATATATGTGATTGGAAGCTCTCAATGGATGACCGATCAACTAATAGCTCTACTAGCTGTTCATTTTGTTTGCTCAATAAAGTTGTTAAACTATCATTTGGTGTTTCCTTCTGCAGTGCCACTGAGAGAAGTTCTTGCTTATCACAATTGTACTTGATACAGTTCATTGTATTCAGTGTCTTATGGCAAGCCATTTTAGCTTAAAATGTATTGCGTGCCATAATGTCTGGGACATTATTCTGGTACAATAACATTAAGTGAATGAACTGAATTTGACACTAGTTGTTCGACACATGTTTCTAGATCTCTCAACAGCTGCTGGACTATTATTAGTTCTCTGAAGGAGGAACCCCCATTTGTGAGGTGAATAGCAGCTTGAACCCTTCACTACCAATGATGCTGTCATTGATGTATATGTGGACAGATGTAGAGAGGAGTGCCCATTTTCAATAAGCACAGTTTAGTGAGCTTTTTAATCCCCTTACTTAAAAAAGGGTTAATTTGAAGCATTCATTCTTATGTTTATGTAATTTTAAAACTTGTTAAAATACATAATTATATTACCAGTATACCTTTATACTAGAAGGCTTTATGGTAGTACATGAATGTGTTTGTGTAATCAGTAAGAAGTAACTGTAATCTGACTTAAGTATTTTAAAATGATCTAATTACAAATACTTTGTGGAATCTGATTATACAATCCAATTACTTGGGATATTTTTACAGTATATTTACTAGTCATTGCTGCTTAATATAAATTTTTTATTTATTTGTTTGCTGAACTTAGATGGTCTTGATCTTAAATGTGCTCGCAACCTCTTTAGAATCAGCTGGCCAGACCTGTAAACCATTTTAGGCTCTCTTAACATACTCTCTAACCATTTTAGGCTCTCTCAACATACTCTCTTTCTGCTTTTACTCTCACTACTTCTGCTGCCATAAGTGATCTAATTGTGAAGTCAAATTCTACATCCTGCCAGATTGATCCTTCACCTACTGTTTTGATTAAGATGTGTGTTCCTGAGGTTGAACCTTTCATAACACATATGATTAACTGTAGTATAGCATCTGCCATTGTTCCAGCAGAATTAAAAATGGCTGCGGTGACCCCCATACTTAAAAAAACGGTTCTTGACCATCTAGATATGAACAATTATAGGCCAATCTCAAATTTACCATTCTTAAGTAAAATTCTTGAAAAATTTGTGGCTTCACAGTTGAGATCTTACTTAAATGCTAATGGCCTTTTTGAACCTTTTCAGTCAGGATTTCGTTCATCACATAGCACTGAAACTGCTCTTCTTCGTGTGGTTAATGACATTCTTCTGTCCATGGATTCTGGGTTAATAAACCTCTTGATTCTTCTTGATCTAAGCTCTGCATTTGACACAGTCTGCCATGAAATACTCATCTCTCGCCTTTCTGATATCGGTATCACTGGTTCAGCTCTTTCCTGGCTCCATTTCCTACATCAGTGATAGAAAATATTATATCACCATACAAGGGTATAAATCTACCACTGCTCCAGTTTCACAGGGTGTTCCTCAAGGTTCAGTTCTTGGTCCACTTCTGTTTATCATTTATATATATCCACTTGGTGACATCATACTCATGCATGGATTTCAATTTCATTGCTATGCTGATGACATTCAAATTTACCAAACCACCAGCTCTGATAGGTCATCACTGCCTGACTCACTTACTGCATTCATCAGGGATATCAAGCATTGGATGTCCTTGAATTTCCTTAAACTAAATAATAACAAAACTGAAATATTGATGATTGGCTCTGCTACCTCAGTCAAAAGGATTGACCTGTCCTTTGAAATTGACGGGGTTCATGTTAAGCCTGCTTCATCTGTCCGTAATCTTGGTGTCTTATTTGACTCATCTCTATATTTTACCTCTCATATTTCTTCTGTTGTTAAGATATTACTTCTAACGTTTAAGGCATTAAATGGTCTTGCGCCGCCATATCTGTCTGACCTACTGTACTCCTATTCTCCTGCCCGGTCCTCGTTTTCGGCTGTCCACTGTAGGTGGTAGGCCGTTTAGTGTTAATGCTCCGAAATTATGGAATTCGCTACCCCTTACACTTCGTAATATACCATCTTTGTCTACATTCAAGACTCAGCTAAAAACGTATCTTTTAACTATGTATTTTGGATAATGTGGCTATATGTGGCCTTATGTGTTTGTATTGTGTATATGGGTGTGCAAATGTTTTGTTTAGCACTATGTAAAGTGACCTTGAGCTATGGAAAGGCACTATATAAATAAAACGTCTTCTTCTTCTTCTCTTTGTTTTCATGTTCAAATATAGGACTGGGTACTTGCACCGGTGTCCAGAAGTGGGCGCAAGAGGACGTTTTTGAGAGCAAGACATGTTAAACATATGTTACGTCACAGGGAATTTCCAGTAAGGAAGTCAAGCTGTCTATTCAAACGATCGCGTTGATCTCGACATGATTTACTGTGACCACGTACGCGACAGGCGATTAAAATCGATTGATCGATCTGCCGTTTAACCTTAGTGGATATTCTGCATATCCATGTCTAGCAGACGCAACAATCATCCTGAATAAGGAACCTGCCTTGAACTGACTTTCTATCAGCTTACATTAGTTGACTTCAGCGCAACATGGAGAAATAAGTTGTAAGGAATAAGAAAACTTGACTCTGAATCCCAAATCCCAGCTGTTTGATGTTGATTCTGAATCTCGGATATCTATCAGGAAAGGTAAGCAGTCTCGTAAATCCAGCCATGCTTGTTAGTTGCCCATGTTGCCATCTAAAGTTTGTTGTGATACTTTGTATCAAGTGCTGCTGCTGAACTTCCTACTTCTGCCTCAGAGGCCAAATGCACATTTCAGCTATCAAGGACTTTTGATAAGTTGTTTTGGGTGAGTACTAACACCTCGTGATGCACATTAATGTGTTTTATTATGGTGGAATTTGGTCAGGATCAGACAGTAGAAAGTTTGAGTGACTGATAAGTGTTATGCTGGCTGTGTATCAAAATGTACAAATACAGTATATTTGGGCATCAAGGCGCGTTCGGTCCGAACATCCGGAGTTGATTAAAATAGAAATTCTGTTCGAACAGTACATTTCTGATGTTCCAAACGCGAAGTGATGCATCTAGTTTGTTTTAGATTAGCAGGCATCTGTTAAATAGATGTCTGAGTTTGTTGTCATTCAGTGTTTGAGACGTGGTGAAGTGGTTGGGATTCTGGTTCATTCCAATAACGCAAATGTTTTAAATGATTTGCTGACTGATTCGTTTCTACAGGTCACAACACCAGTAGGTGGCGAGACAAATGCGATTTTTGTTTGTTCTGATGTGAGGGATTCACTTGATCTTTCATTCAACCGATTCCCTACAAATGACAACATAACAGATGTTTTTATTCTTTTTGCAAAAATTTTTATAGCTATAAAAAGACAATAATCTTCCCTATCATGGCCATTATTCACATTTACACGTTTAATGCTTTTGCCGCCGCCTTGGCTCATACAACGAACTGAACGATTTTTTTATTCCATTCAGACCAGATTTTTTTTTTACTGAACAAAACATTTTTTATCCACTTGATATATGCACTTCTCCAATATAGAAATAAGTCTAAAAAAAACAAGATTTGTGCCAACTCATTTTGTTATTAGATTTTTTTCATGTCCACTATAATGGATACCAGGACTGAAGAAAAATAAAAATCCCCATATTTTAACCATACATAGTAAGTAGAGCTTGTGCACGATAGTTGAACTAGTGTTTAAGATTTTGAAAAGAACACATACTATAAGAATGAACAATACAGTAAGAATGTGGAAAAAAAGGTAAGATGATATGAAGTCTTAAAAAAAAAACCTGTTTGATCCTTTTTGTTGGTTGAAGTGGGTATCTCTTTGGATTTGAGACTTTAGTCTTTGCAACTTTACAGATCTTCTTTATGCACCAAGAGCTTGTAACACTTCAAAGAGAAAGGAAAAATTGAAATCGCATCATATGACCCCTTTAAAGATGTAGTTTGTTAACGAACTGAATAAACAAGTCAAGTCTCGCTAGATAGTGCAGCTCGAGCTTTGTTCAGACAAAAAAAAACACAAATTCAAAGGCGTATTGATTCAAACACCGCACTTGAATACTTCCACTAGCCTATATTCAATCTTTGAAGGCAGAAAAGCTGCTTCGATGCGGAGTGACTTCTTCATGTAACGAAAATTTCAGTTTGGAAGTGAACGAGAACAATTAATTTAAAAGATTCGTTCAAAAAACACAGATTCGCAAATGAACAAAACACCTCTAGTAATTGTGTAACCAATAACGAATTAGCTTTTCACTTCCCTTCATATTTTCTAGATATTTTATATTTTCAGTGTTTGACTACTTTTGGCCACTGTCTGACTAAGAATATGAACATGAAATGTGAAATAATTTTTTTACTTTTCTCCACAGGAATCATGGCTGGAGAGGATCCATACCATGCAGAGGTGAGGAAATGTTTCGAAACCAATTTTACTTGCATATAATATGTACATATTTCTGAGTGTTTTTGGCGCCAACTGTAAGACCATGAAGTAAATCGGGTCAGTTTTGATTTCATGTTGACTTTATAAGCTTATGTTGCTAGCTGCTGATTTATTTATGAAAATGTTTATGATCATGATAGCTGATAGCTATAGACAGATAGCATGAAGCTCATGCCTTGTAATTATCTTCACAAGATAAACATAGACCTCAGAGCTCTTTTTTTGTGTTGCTTGTAACAGATGTAAGCCTTTGAAGGCATACAGTATAAGCCTGATAGTAAATGATTAAATTTGAAACAGGACATATTAATGTGTGTAAATACCACAGCATCACACAGGAAGTGTCTCTTAGAAAGCTGAGGAGGTTTTCCTTTTTCCTGCCTTCTGTGGTTGCGATTAGGCCTGTCACGATAACAACTTTTTGTTGTGCGATATATTGCCCCAGAAATAATTGCGATAAGCGATATTATTGTCATTCTAAAGACCATTTTATGCCACTGAATATATAATCATAATGTGATTCACCCTTAACACAGCACCAAATGAAGCTATACACATTACTGTTTGTTCAGTTTTGTATCCACATATATCGCAAAATCATATTACTGCCTGTCTGTCTACACTGACTACAGTGATGCATCTTACACCTGTGCTAGAAATCTGACTCCTAAATTCAAACTCTGTCCTTATGTAACACTGAAAAAACCCTATGTGTTTATGACACAAGGTCATGGAGCTGTTTATAAAGTACACTGTTGCTAAAGTTACATGTAAAGCATTCAAAACAGTCATAATTGCATGCTATTGCATGTGTGTCTCATTTTTTTTATTTTTTATTCTCTCACTGAAGTACATGGGACAAATTGACCCATTTAGAGACGACACGATATGGATGACCATGGACCCGACACCGTTTCCGGGCATCCACAACAATAATGTTATGAGGACAGGTAAGGGTCTTCTTTGAGTTTTTCAGATTTGTTGTTAAATCAAGGTCTTGACAATGAGATAACTTGCTGAACTTTGCAGAATGGATGCAGTAAGATTAGCCTTCGTTTCCCTTCTTCCTCTTGCTTTATTCACCCTGCAGTAAGATTCAGTAAGAGGTCTAAATCCAATGAACCGTTCTAGAGATGTGGAGACAGAAAATCCCAGAAATCACTCCTTGGTTCAGTGATGTCACACACAGTCATTCGTATATTGTGTGGGATGGCACTACAGGAGCTGATCTATTGTTCCCCCCACACTTTTCACTTCCTCATTGGATTGCAGAGACACGACTGAAAACCATGAACAGCTTTTTACTGCCATGTGGTTGCGTGAGAAACCTCTCTGAGATAAGTGCAGTTTTGGGGCTGCCACCTTTGAACACGTGTGCTTGATCTACCTGAGCACAGTAAAACTGTGTAAATCAATAAAATTTTGGTTAAATATGTGCCTCTACTATGAATGAAAAACTATCAAAAGGGGACACTTAAAGGGATGGTTCACCCAAAAATAAAAATTCCAAACCTGTATGGCATACTTTCTTTTGTGGATCACAGAAGATATTTTGAAAAATGTCACTGTGCTTCACCGTGTGAATTAAAAATTTAGCATTACATCACTTTCTCACCAATTGATCTCATGAAATAAATGGATGTTATCAAAATTAGAGGGCAAAAATCTGATTAATACATCACAATAATCCACAAGTAATCAAAATGACAGTCCATCAATCAGTCCAACATCTTGTGAAGTGAACAGCTGTGTGTTTGTAAGAAATGAGGTGTTTTAACATTAAATTGGTCCTTCTGGCTAAAATGTGAGTCCATAATAACACTTCTACCAGGTACCCTGTTGTTCTTTCACATCAAAATCCATCAACATATTTGTTCAGAATGGTAAATTTCTCTCCTGATTCAGACGAGATTACTTTTCTAACTGGAGAAAGCAATATTATGGATAGAGGACTTGTATTTTAGCTGGAAACAATGATCTGAAGTTAAAATCTTGATGGATTTGTTAATTACAAACATGCAGCTTTTTTAACACATTAATCGATGGACTGGAGTCGTGTGGATTATTGTGATGCTTTTATCAGCTGTTTGGACTCTCATTCTGACGGCACCCATTCACTGCAGAGGATCCATTGATCAGCATGTGATGTAATGCTACATTTCTCCAAATCTGTTCCGATGAAGAAACAAACTCATCTACATCTTGGATGGCCTGAGTGAAATTTTCTGCCATTTTTAGTTCATTTAGGTTTCTAGTACATGGGGTTATTAAGGGGGGGGGAGGGTTTCACTTTAGCAGCAAGAAAGCACCTAGTATCATTTCTTTTCTCAGTGTGAGGTGGTAATTAGAGATGACATGAGCAACAGAACTGTCATCTTTTTCGAACAGAGTTCATCTTTATTCCGGCATGTGGTTAGCTACTGCGGTCAAGTAGGCCATGCACTTATTACTGTGTTTCAATCTGACAATTGAATAATTGATTGCTATTTTGAGTTGAGTGCACCTGTGGTTTTGACATCTGCGTTAGACCTGAGACACCTCATCGAGTAAAGAACCGATGAGTAATGTTGGAAATACAACCAAGTTATATCTTACCAAATAAAGTACCTGTCCCCTGTAACGCTCATAGATCTGGACCTTTTCATTATGTCAGTGTATTGGGAGAAGTGGACACATAGAAGTTATGCTGTAAGAGGTTAAATTCTGCAGGTTTAGCAGCTGATTGATTTAGCTGCGCTTCACCAAGGATGTGGTCTCAGTCCTTGTAGTGCACAGGAAGAGGAAGAGGCTTGCGCTTCTGTGGAAACACGTGGTGCAGCAAGAGCTTTGGCCCTGAAATATCTGCAGAACACCCGCCTCTCAGCGAATGCTTTGATATGCTTGACGGCCAGAAAGTCTGCATGGCGAGATTGAATTCTAATCCTTCTGATTTTTCAACACCTGGTTGAATTAAATAGCTTTTCAGCTAGTCATGTTTGCTTATTTCTGTTTGCAATGCAGTGTGACACTGACATTGTAAGCATACAAGTTCCTTTTTGTCATAAAATACAAAAGGAGATATTCGGCACAATGTTCACGCTGCCCTTTTGCCTTTTGATCGCTTTGTGTGAAGAAAAGATTTGAGTTGTTATTCACTGCAGTTCACAAATTTAATTCAATATATGACACATTCAAACATTTCGGATCAATTTTGGCATAAATGATGCTAAATGACATTGGATGTCATTGGTTTTCTGTTTCAAAACCAATCATGATCTAGCAAGCGTAAAGATGTGGAAGTGTGAATGATACTTGACAGCGACTGCTGAGTGGAAAATTAACAGAAGAACTGACGAGGGAATTTCATTTAACAGTTGAATTTTTTTTTTTTTTTTGCAGTCGATGGACCTTATCTACGAATCGTCGAACAACCAAAACAGGTAATGCACATAATATTTTTGCAAATGCTCTTGTTAAATGATTTGAACTAGTTAAATAAGACAGCAATGAAATGTTCTCATGCTTTTGCAAGTGAATTTCCTAATGTGTTAAGCTAAACACACTGTAATGGCACAACGGCTCAGAAGAGACTGGTAACTCTGGCAGCAGGTAGTGACAATAACAAACTCATTATAGCAAAATGTTAAGTCTGACATTGTCATTTCCAGAGGGGCTTCAGGTTCCGCTATGGATGTGAAGGCCCCTCCCACGGAGGACTCCCAGGGGCCTCCAGCGAGAAGAACAGGAAGTCTTACCCACAAGTGAAGGTAGGTTCAACCAGGTTGCCCGGAGATAAACAAAACATTCTCTTACAGTTCGCTTCTGGTTGGGCAATAGGATTTAGATTAAGAGGATAAACATATTTTCTTCTGTTTCCTTTCCAAGTGCTAATCAAACAGAACAGGCTGTTATTTATTTTTTGGTCTTGGCAGACTTTATCCTCTTAATGAAATTAAAAAACAAAGCTTAAAAATCTCCCTTTGACTTAACACTACTATTCAAAAGTGTACATATTTTATTTATTGTATTTTTTATTTTTTTTATCAATAATTTTAGTCAGCAAGGGTGCATTAAATAATAACAAGGATCATGTGACGGCTTTGCCATCACAGGATTAAATTACATGTTAAAATAGAACACAGTTTATTGCAATTATTATAATATTTCACAATATTTCTGTTTTTACTGTATTTTTGATCGAATAAATGCAAGCTTGGTGAGCATAAGAGGCTTCACATTGTGTAACTGACAGCAATGATGTCATCATGGCGTTTGCAACCTGAATTATGAATTCTTTCTTTAATATTTAGCATAGTGAATTGTGATCTGTCTGCTTACGTATAGAACATATGCTAACCTAAAGCTTTAGAAGAATAGTTTACCTAATTTTGATGCTTTCTAAACCTGTTTATCTATCTTTCTTAAGTGGAACACAAAAGATGTCTTGCAGAATGTTGGCTTCAGATGACTTGGAATAATTGTAATTTTTTTTAAGGTTGACAGCCCGTGGTCACCATTCTTGAGTAAATAATAAAATTTTTGCCCTATTTTTTGCCAGCTTGCAAGCACTGGTATTTCCTTCAGGAAAACTAGTTTGCATAGTTTTGAGATCTAGAGAGAGAGAGCTGTCTGATATGGCAGCTCTTTCATCAGATGATAAATCCCAATTCTGCAATATTTGCTGGAGCACTCAGCTAAAAATAGTAGCTGCTGTCTCTTACAACTGCCGTTTTGTGCCAGGTCACTTATTTTGGGATCACAGTGGCTGAAGGTTGAGAAAGTGAGTGAAACAAAACAAGCAAAGAAACGAGAGAAATGAAAGAAGGACTCTGTTCTCTATTACCACGCTCTCCTTCATGACGGCAGTCCGTTTGGGAATTTCCTCAGTGTGTCACCTTCGGTAATTAGTGGGAAGACTTGTTCTATGTAATGTGGTGTCAGAGATGGGAAACGAAGTGTGCAGCAGCTCGCCCCCTCTCGCACCGACACACTCTGACATGTAGCGCAAACAAACACACATTAAAGAGATGTGTGTGTGTGTGCATTGCACATACACCTCCAAGTAAGTGTGGGCTTTACTGGGGCTCCAAGTTCTTGATCAAATGTCTTCCATTTGGTGTAAATCAAGTTGCCCAAACCTTTTAATACAAAAGGTAAAAAAAATTAAACTTGATCGAGTTTAATCAATAGTAAATGTTGCATTATATCCAACTATGTTATATTAAAATGTATTTCATTAGAACCCCACGCACTAAAGGTGCTGAAAACCAATTATGTGTACAGATTTTATAGTTATTTGTTGTTTCCTCTCATAAAGTCTTTACAATAAGATCCCATTAGTTAACATTGGTTAATGCATTAAGTAACATTAACTTTTACAAAGAGCAATACATTTGTTAGAATATTTATTAACCTTTGTTAATGTTAGTTAATAACAAATTAAACAGTTCGTTGTTAGTTCATGTCAGCTCAAGTCCATTAAATAATATTAACAGATAGGGGCGGAAATTAGCGGGGGTTTGGGGCATAAATGCTCCTCAAACTTAAGATAAAGGAGCAAAAATGCCCCTGCACAGTTAAACAAAATCTATTACAGCAGTCCCGATTAAAGTTCAATTGAAAAAGAAATTAAAAGTGTTGATTGCAAGAGATAGAATAGATCTGCTCAGGTTGCATCAGATTTCTTTTTAGACGTTTTTCTTTGCAGCATTGAGCATTATAAACAATCATACATGTTTCTGTTGAGCTTCTATGCATTGGCCAGTCAGAGGCATTTAGATTAGTCTGCACTGACTAAATTGCAGCTGCACCTTTTATTTGATCATTTATATATTTATAATTTGTTATGATTTATATATAGTGTAATCTTTTAATTTCATAGTGTAATCTTATGCAGTTGTTGTTTAAGTACATGTATGCCCCCTTTGAGCAGCATTAAACTGTATAAACAAATATAAAGGAACATTTAAACATGAATTAATTCATGTTTATTTTTAATTAATATAAAATTAATGTTAATTAACCTTATTGTAAAGTGTTTCCTCAAATTCTTCTTTCCCCTTTATTCCAAACCAACTTGATTTGAATTTGAATGTTTAAATGTGGAGGAAGAGGAAACAACAAATTTCATGAATTTCCATTGCTACTGGTGCTATTATTGAAAAAAAGTTGTTAAAACTTCTCAACGATGTATTTGCCACTGTAACCACAACCTATACTGTATCTACATCAGTAATGCACTTCAACACAAGCGCTGGGATCCCCTATGATTTTCATGTTGGTATTGATTTAACTTGTGGTCTACTATAAGAGTGTTTCGTTTATCTCACTGCTACGGGTATACAGGTTTATTGTAGGGATTTCCGGGTTGATTAATTTTTATATCATTGCTCACGGTAGGAGGAAATTAGCTCATCTGTTGCCCATACAATACGTCAACTGTTCAGCAGCTGTCTTTAGTGTTGTTTGACTCTCAGCCGGATCTGAAAAGGTGAGATGGAGGATCATTATTCACGTATGGGCGCACATGTATGTTTTCATGCGTGGCATCACTGCTTTCATGATATCATCGAACGATTTTTCTAGAGGGGCTCATGTTCATATTCTTTGATATTCGCTGGGTATTTTTTTCTGGGGGTTGATATTGCTATGAGGATGAGTCATTTCGTTCCAGAGAAAGTGTTTTGTGAGCCATATTTGAAGTTGGCCTATAGAAGCAGTCAAACCACACATCTTGTCATATGAGTCAAGAAGAAACAGTTTTAAGTCTTTTCTTATTAATGTTTGGGATTTGCTTGTACTGTGGCATTTTTTGTTTTCCTTTTAGCTCTTCTGTGTGTTGAGGATGTTGTTGATAAGAATGGCCAAATTATGTTGTGGAAAAGTCCACAAATGGTCCACCCACTTTCCCTGTGAATGCTGGGATTTCCCCCTTCCAAAATGAGATTATCATACCTGTGACATTCCTTTGCCGTTAATGTCTTTTGGTTTGCCTTTTAGACTTTATGTAAAGTATTTGCGGAACTGCTACACAAATACTTCAGATTGTATATATTCTACCTACTTGAAATATGTACAATAATTTAGTGTATAATATTGTTTTATTTATTGTTTAATAATGTTAATAAATATTATTATTTCACAGTAAATTGTATAGATTCCTGTATTATTTAACATAAAATAATATTGATAATCTATAAATAATTATTGATTAGATGATGATTTTTTTTTCACATTAAAATATATAAATTATATTTATAATGCTAATTTATTCATATTAATTGTTTTGTTGATAAATGATGATAATTGTTATTATTTGACAGTAAATGTTATAAAGTGTTAATGATATAATATTTATTGTAAAATAGTAACTACAATCTATCAGTAATAATGCTTTTTATTTATACATGATAATTATTATTATTTCACAATAAAAGATATGAAGATTTTTTTGTTTTATCGTGAAAGTATTATAATTATTTCACAATAAAACAAATATCTGCTATATATATACTGTATATATAGAGTGAGTTTATTTGCAAAAAGTTACTCCCGTTTTTATTCATTTTCTTAAATCATTTTTTTATTGTGTTAATTAGCTGTATTTTTTTTGTTATTATTTAATCAAAACAACCCAAACTGCATTCTATTATATTATTATTTCACAATAAAAGATATGAAGATTTTTTTATGTTTTATCGTGAAAGTATTATAATTCATTTTCTTAAATCATGTTTTTATTTTGTTAATTAGCTGTATTTCTTTTGTCATTATTTAATCAAAACAACCCAAACTGGATAAAAGGATTAAAAAAAACATGATTTTTGAACATAAAAAAAAAAAAAAGGAGTTATCTGTTTTTGCAAATGAACTCTTCATATAGGTATTTAGCAGATTAAAGTCAGCTAAAAAATGTGCCACTTTTTAATGTTTTTGTTCTGTTTGTTTTTGGGGCAACAGATCTGTAACTACCAGGGTGCAGCGCGAGTGGTAGTTCAGCTGGTGACCAACACTGTAAAGCCCCATCTTCATGCTCACAGCCTGGTGGGCAAACAGTGCGATAAAGGAATCTGCATTGCCGACTTGCAGCCCAAAGATTCAAGCATCAGGTCTGAATTTGTCCCTCAACATCCAGTTATTCAGAATGCTTTTTTTCTGAGCCACAGCACTCTTGGTACATGCAACGATGACAGTGAGGCCCCTAATTAATGTTCACTTGCAAATGTTTTAGTTTTCCCAACTTGGGCATTTTGCATGTGACAAAGAAGAACGTAAGCAAAGTTTTGGAAGAGAGGATGATCGAGGCCTACAGGATGGGGTATAACTACGGCATATCTATCCATCCTGAGATAGATGCCCTACAAGGAGAGGTTCGCGTGTCCAGAGAACTCACAGGTAGGAGAAGTGTGTTTATGTGTGCGTGAAATTTTCCTGACAGATTATGTCTCTATTCAGGATATCCATCCATTTTTCTGCTGGCCAAGTCAGGATGGTAGTTCAGATATTTACTTGCCCTTCCGACATTTATTCCTGCCTCACCACAAAGAAAATGATGGCATGCAATGGGATGCATTACTATTGGTTTGTACTTTTCAAGCCAAAAATACAAGTGACCTTCCTAATTGTAGAGCCCTGATGGGCTTATGGTCATTGTAGCTTAAAGGTTGAAGATCTGGGATAGTAACCGATAGGTTGTTGGTTCAGACTCTACAAGGAGCAATCACTTTTCACTTTGTGCCAAGACAGTTTGGTCCATGGGCACTGGCCCTATAAAAAAAAATGTACTGTAAGTCACTATGGATCGAATTCTCCTGATGATCTAAGAATGCTTTGGCCAACGGAAAGGTTTAAGAGAATGCTTGAGGTGTTGAATATAAATAACCTCAGCATATTGTGACTGTTTGTTCATGTATTTTAGATGCTGAGAGGAGCCTGGTTAGCAGTGTGTCTATTCCTCAGTCGAAGGAGATGGATCTGAGTGTGGTACGGCTCATGTTCACAGCCTTCCTGCCGGACAGTGATGGAGGGTTCTCCCGCCGACTGGAACCGGTCATTTCAGACCCCATCTTTGACAGCAGTGAGTATCATCCTCCTTGATACTGACCATGTCGATCAAAAGCATTTTTTTTACATTTTACATTTTTAATAGTTTTTTTACTATTTTATTTTATTCCTTGTAAAGTAATGAAATGGGTTCATTTAATGTGTTTAGCTATAGTTAAATAATTCTAATTCGTAGTCATTAGAAATTATGGTTTTTGGCCCAATCTGTATAATTTAGTGACAGAAACTGCCATGACTGTGGAGAGGAAGAGAAGTGTTTGTTAACAGAGTAGCCACATGATTTTGAGTTTTGGGGCTAATTATTGATATTTTTGTAGTATCACTCTTGATCTCGTTCTCATTTTCTTCTTCCATTTCTCTCACTCATACTCTCACTCTCTGACAGAGAACTATCGGGTATTGCTTCCTCTCTGAAACTAGGCCTACACTGACGTTTTCCCCTCCCTTTTCTAATAATCTCTGTTTCCATTTCTGCCTCTTTTCTTAGCACTGTCAGAGTTCATGTTTGTAAAACGAGACTGCTACAGAAAGGAAAGGGAAAATGAGGAAACTCCACAAAAATGAAAAACAGAAAGACTTGTTTAATTTCTAAGGCCTTTGTCTCTCTTGTGGCTTTTTAGAGGCCCCAAATGCCTCCAATCTGAAGATAGTGCGTATGGATCGGACTGCTGGCTGTGTGACGGGAGGAGAGGAGGTCTATCTGCTGTGTGACAAAGTCCAGAAAGGTCAGAAAGCAATATCATAACAGTCACTGCACGCTCTGCCTGTCTGCTATTGCTGACCAGAATTAAGGACATTAGTGAAGAGCATGCATTTTCCATGCTGCTTTGAAATAAAGGGTTTGATAATGTTCACAGAGATATTAAAGGGTCATTCAGAAATTACTATGGTTGTGACGTCACAACCACGATGACATTAACATACAAATTCCTAGATTTACAGATCATTTTCATATATGGTTGGGGTCAGTAAGATTTTTTTTCTTAATTTTCCAGAAAGGATGCATTAAATTGATGCATTAAAGACTTTTAAACTGTTACAAAAAGATTTTAAATAAATGTTCTTTTGTACTTTCTAGTCATCAAAGAATACTGCAAAAATGTTGCTGTTTCCACAAAATTTAATAAAAAGCACAACTGTTTTGCATTGATAATAATAATAAATGTTTGAAATAATGGCTACTGAAAATTCAGCTTTGCCATCACAGGAATAAGTTGCATTTTAAAATGTATTAAAATAGAACATGGTTATTTTAAATTGTAATAATATTTACAATATGACTGTTTTTACTCATTTTTAATCAAATAAATGCAGTCTTGGTAAGCAAAAGAGACTTCTTTCCAAAACATAAAATCTTACCAATCCCAAACTTTTAAACAGTATTATATCTTAAAAAATAAAGTGAGAAACATTAAGAGTAGGAAATGCATACACTTGCATAAAAGTGAATAGGTTAACTTATAATGCTCAATTTTACAGAGCCAATCACCTTTTTGGTAAATGGCAGGAAGTCCCACCTTATGAGCCAGACACCCTTTTTGACAGAGCTGTCACCTGTTTGTTTTATTCTTGAAATTAGATGGACCAGCTTGAAAAATGGTATTGTGCATGATTTCAGTTAAAGGAGTAAGGTTATGATCTTATTACAGTCCAATTGTATTTCTGGTTTGAAATATACTATTTTAACATAATATTTACAAACAGTTTCAGAGATTTCAGTCTCTTAGCATTCAAGTAGGCAAGAGCTGTACCTGCTTGGCTGGAAAAAGCTGCCTGGAGGCATTACCAAGATGGCCACCGAAGAGAACTGAATTGTTTTAAAGAGAACTTTGCTAAGGGTCAGAAAGAGAGTGTGGAGAATGGTCTTTTGAAACTAAATAGTGACTGCTTTTGGTACAAGAATGATTTCAAGAGAACGGCCAGGGTATAATGGTGTATTTGATTTGGGGATCAGGAAAATTTGAACAAGCCGTGTTCTACATTTTTCTGAATGAAGCCACCTTCAAACAGTTTAGCTTTTAACCTACAGCTGATAAGCCACCTTGTTCTTGTGTGATAGATGCTGGACACGCTTTGCCACTCTTGAAGGAAGTTTTCACTGCAGTTTTCCAACTATAGGGAATTCCCCTTTTCATATGCAAATTACGCGGCAGAAGAAAGTTCACTATACGTCTGTTTTTCTACAACTCGCTCACCGTTTCTCTTACCTCATATTGTTTTCTCCTCCCTTCGCTCACGATGAAAACCAGATCTTCGTGGACAAGTCATGTAGGATAAATATATGATCTTGAAATACAAAATGATCATCGTTCACCATTACTACGCACTAAATCCCCTTAAACATTTACAACAAACTCTGGAGTGTTTTAAAATTAGGAATAAGACTGATATCACAGTTTCATTTGTGATTCAGCTATGATATTGTGATAAATTGCAACACATTAAATGACAATCATATAGTGTGAATCATATAGCGATAATACCCAGCCCTGGTAATTTGTAAATATAGTGTTACATGGTTATTGAATCATTTGGTATATATCAAAATACCATGGTATTTCCATCAGATACCTAGACTGGATATGTTTTTAGATCATGTGTCCATAATGTGCATATCAGTTGCGCCATTAAATGAAGTTTGTACTGTGGTAAATCATGACTTTTGCGGAAGTAACGATGTGTTGCATGCTGATGACAGATATTAAAATTGTACTCTGTGTGTGTGTGTGGTGACAATCATTTCCTCTTTCTTTCCCCGCTGGTTCACAATAATTTCATTTTCCTCATACTGTGTGTGATGTCATTGTTTGTTTTTGTTGTTGTGACAGATGATATCCAGGTGCGGTTTTATGAAGAGGATGAGACAAGTCTAACCTGGGAGGCCTACGGGGATTTCTCCCCCACCGATGTCCACAGACAGGTCAGCACAAGAACTTGCCTGTCTACACTGTACTTCCGCAGCCACAGTTTGACCCTGCTGGTCGAAACATGATCCTTTATGTTCAGTGACTTGCTTTCTGGTTTAATGATCTCTGTTTTCTTATGGATAAATCCTAACTTCTCTGGGTAAATAGTTGGTAAAGCACAGCTACTGGGGATTTATTAAGTCAACATGAAATAAAACTGACCCTATTTACTTTCTTCATACGTTAACGCTACCTTTTAAAAGTTGAAGTGTTTTCGAAAGAAGTCTCTTATGTTTACCAAGGCTGCATTTATTTGATTAAAATACAGTACATACTGTGAAATATTATTCACATTTTTAAATAATTGATTTCTATTTGAATATATTTTAAAATGTAATTTACCCCTGTGATGCCAAAGGCTACAGTCTATAGTGTCACATGAACCTGCAGAATATACTGATTTGCTGTTCAAGAAACATTTCTTATCATTACCAATGTTGAAAATAGTTGTGCTTCTTAATATTTTGTGGAAACTAATACTTATTTCTCAGAATTTCTAAACGAATAGAAAGTTTAAAAGAACAGCGTTAATTTGAAATAACATTGTAACATTATGAATGCCTTCACTTTTGATCAATTTAATGCATCCTTGCTGAATAAAAATATTAATTCATCAAGTCACGTCACTGTTACATCTTGACTTTAGATGACTGTGATTTTATGGTATTATTAAAAAAATGTTCTGGTGGAATGAATAATCCACCTTTCAATTCCATCCTTTAGTTTGCCATCGTCTTCAAGACGCCTAAATATCGGGACCAGAACCTCCAGAAGCCCATCTCTGTGTTTGTGCAGCTAAAAAGAAAGTCAGACAATGAAACGAGCGATCCCAAGCCTTTCACCTACCATCCACAGATTATAGGTATAGTCTTTAACCAACTCCATAAAGCTTTGATTGTTACTGTGCAACATAAACTTTATTTTTTAGGATTTTTTTTTTTGTTTAATTTTGAAAGCTAAGACAAAAATGGCAATATATTGTAACAAGACCGAACCGAAAAAAAATAGTGTATGTAACAGGGTCCAAAGCTCTTAGATTTCTAAGTGAGACTGTTTCTATTTTGCATGTTTAAATATATATATACTGTATGTAAATATTTTAAAATAATTTAAAAATATTTTTTTGTTTTTACCACATAACAATTGAGTAAAAGGTCCAAACTAAAGTCTGTCCATATACCGTATAAAGGCTGTCATGATTCCTCGATTCATTTCGAGTACTCGATTAAAAAAAATACTTGATTGCATTTTGCCCATGAAAATTTAAGTAATTTTAAAGGCTATTTTTATTACCACAAAAAAATTTATTATAATTATCTGATTACTCGATTAATTGCCAGAATTATTGACCAATTACTCAATTACCAAAATAATCGTTAGTGACAGCCCTACACCATATGTTTACTCTTGTTATTGAATTTCTCTTCTAAACTGTTTTTAGACAAAGAAGAAGTCCAGAGAAAGAGACAGAAGACTCTGCCAAACTTCCAGGACTACAGTGGAGCAGGAGGTGGAGCTGGGGGCATGTTTAGAGGAGGAGGGGGTGGGTCAACAGCAGGGGGTGGTCCCAGTGGAGGAGGAGGAGGAGGTATATCAATATAGCATTACACTTCACATAGCAGTACTTTTTTTTTTTTTATTAGAAGCCTGAAAATCCCACCATGCATAAAAGGTTAGTGATGTTAGCTAAACATTCTTTTGTCGTCTAGGACATTACTTCCAGGGATATCAAACCTATAACAATTATGGGTCTGGATACAACTTCTCCTCAGGCATTGGAGGAGGCGGGAACACCATCAAGCATGGTGGGTATAGTCACACATACTACCATTATTTTACTATCCATATTACTATCCATTAAGGTCATTTATTCCAGAATTTTTGGCTGTCATTACTTGAGTCAGCAGTTTCACATGAGCCATCAGAAATCATTTAAATATGCTGATTTGGTGTTGAAGAAGCATTTCTTATTATAAATGTTAAACATGGTTGTGGCTCTTATTTTTTGTGGAAACCGTGAACATAATATGATTTTGCTCTTCAGCAAAGCCAGTTTCTCAGTTTTCCTTCATCTTATAGCGTATCAAGAACCAGTGGAAGACAGTGATGAGGACAGTGACAGTGATACCGATGATGATCCGACAGCAGGTGGGGCGGTGCGAATCTGTGCCCAGCCTGAACCTGTCGGTTTGGGAGTGGCAAGTGAGGACACAGATCCTACAGAAGATCTGGAGTTAAACACCACAGGTTAGACTTTATTTGAAACTTACGGTACATTCACACCGGGCGTCAGTGTCGACGCTTGATGGAGGGCGTTTCTGAAGCTTGGTGCTGACGCGACCGTCATAGTGACAGCAGCCAATCACATTAGTTTTCTGGTGTTGCATGAACGCGATTGGCTAGCGTCTGCACCAGGGCATTTGCATAAGGCGATCTGATTGGCTGACGCCTGCGTTGGCGCTTGAAAAGTTGAAAAGTTTTCAACTTCTGCCGCGAGCAAGTTCTTTTGTCACGTGACGTGACAGCATTGGATAGAGAAATTAGTTAATTTACAAGCTTCCTTACAAACGGGTGCATAGTTATTAATATTATTATCATTATCATTATTATAATTATTAGTTACTTTTACAGTTACGTGATGCATCTCAAATTGTAATTTTTTACTTCTAGCAGTTTATAAATGTGTGAATTTCTGTCATGATGGTTCTTTTCCATAACACTGAATGTTGTAACAAAGGTAATAAAGAGTTGGTTATTATTATTAAGTCTCTTTCCGGCTCAGACTGCATAGGTTAAGCTTATGGGTCTGTCACGTGATGAACGAACGACTCGAAAAACCCGAAGACTCGAGAGATGAACTAATCAATTCTCTTTCCGGCTCAGACTGCATTGGTTAAACTTATGGGGCTGTCACGTGATGAACGAATGACTCAAACTCGAAGACTCGAGAGATGAACTAATCAATTCTCTTTCCGGCTCAGACTGCATTGGTTAAACTTATGGGGCTGTCAAGTGATGAACGAATGACTCGAAAAACCCGAAGACTCGAAACAGGTGAACTACTTGACTAATTCCAGTACAGAACCTATAGGATGTTGTGCATGCGCAACTGAACGAATCACTCCCCGAGACGACTCGTTCTTCCCGAGTCACATTAAAGATTTGTTCAAAATGAACGACCCAACACTAAACGAGAGGCGTTGACGCCGACGCCCCGTGTGAATGGGGCGTTAAGCTTGTGTAACATTTTCCAGCTCTGGTCAAACTGGGCTAAAACCCAGACAAGCTTCATGTTGCTTGTAGATATCTCTGTGTAAATGTGTGTATTTGTGTGTCTGCTCTTTTTAGGCTGTGTGTTAGAGCCTCATTTAGCTGAGCTTGCTGGAAGACAGGCTCAAGCTCTGTTTCATTACACAGTAAGCGGCGATGCTAGAATGCTTCTGGCTCCACAGCGCCCCCTCATGACCACTCAAGACGAGAATGGAGACACGTAAGTCAGAAAAACCAACCTCATATTTCTGTTGAAGTTCCATTTTCATAAGCTTCCCACTTCTCGCCAAAACACGTCAGTATGAATAAATGATTTCAGATGTTGTTTTGTCTCTGTTTCCCAAAGATCAAAGGTTTACTTACCTAAATGTTCTGTTTTGGATCTGACTTTCAGGGGTTTACATCTGGGAGTGATCCATAGTCAGACAGATGCCGTGCGATATCTAGCACAAGTCATCTCGGCTCTCCCCGGAGAGGATGTACTTAACATGAGGAATGATCTTTACCAGGTATACTACAAATTCACGCTATACCTTACAATGGGATCTCTGTTTTTGACATTTCTAAAAACGGATACATCTGATACATCTGTTCCAGACTCCTTTGCACCTAGCAGTGTTGACGCAGCAAAAAGAGGCAGTCGAGGCCTTGTTGGAGGCTAAGGTGGACGTCACGCTCACAGATCGCCATGGAAACATGGCACTTCACCTGGCGGCTCAGCAGAAAGAGGATAGCGTGCTGCGATTTCTGATGAAGCACAAATCAGTGGCGCAATTAACCAGCATCCCCAACACAGCAGGTACGGCGGACTGACTACATGAGATCCATTTAAGCTGATTTGAAGCTGTCCTGTATGCTCAGATGTGTTTACGTGTGTGTGTTCAGGTCTTTGTCCACTTCACCTGGCTGTACAGGCAAACAGTTTGAGTTGTGTGCGGGCCCTGCTGGATGCCGGGGCAGATGTGGAGGTCCAGGAGCTCACGTGTGGCCGCACAGCACTTCACCTGGCCACAGAGCTGGGAAACCTTTCCCTCGCCGGGTGCCTGTTGCTGGAGGTACAGTGATGGGTTTGAAGGATGTTGCTTTAGTGAATACTATATATTCCTAATATTGAAAAGTTTTGCTCTATATCAGTGATCCTCAAATCTGGCTCGCGAGATCCACTTTCCTGCAGAGTTTAGCTCCAACCCTATAATCAAACAAACCTACCTGTGATTTTCTAATGATCCTGAAGACATTGATTAGCAAACTCAGGTGTGTTTTGATTAGGGTAGAGCTAAACTCTGCAGGAAAGTGGATCTCGCGAGCCAGATTTGAGGATCACTGCTCTACATACTCTTAACCTTTGCATTTTTTTGCATGTAGCCCATCTGTAATGCTAATCAATACATCATTTTTTATCATAATTTAATATTTCATGTTCTTTTAACACATTCTCACTGTGAGAATTAAAAAGTTGATTGATTGATTGATTGGTTGGTTGGTTGATTTTGCAGCTAAAAACTATATTATATTTAAACTTGATTCATGTGAAATGAGTAATAACTCTTTCAAACTGATAAGTTCTGAATACGTTTACACTTATTTTTTGTAATAAGTCTTCTATGCTCACAAATAGGGGTGCTCCGATCAGGATTTTTGAGACCGATCGCCGATCACAGAAAGCAGTATCTGCTGATACGATCACCGATACCGATCTTTTTAAAGCCTTCTTTTTATCATGTCCAATTATTTATAGTGATGATCCAATAAAGATTTTTAGACATTTATTCAGGGCCTGAATTTCATTTTTGAAAATGAATTCCTCTCTTAGGTGGCTCTTGTGAGAGGGAATTTTTTTAATTTGAGGGGTGGAGGGGGGCATGTTTAGACATTTTTCAAAAATATATATTTATCTCACCTAGATGTTTGATCATGCACTGCATTTTTGTTTTGACAATCGTGCAATTGTTGCACAATAGCTTACACACAGCGCAAGCCTGATTTCGTGAGCTGTATGTGAGGTGGCCTTTTACACCAGGTTCACACGTACTCCGTTTGCAGTGCAGTCCATGTGTGGTACGTAACTGGTGCAGAAGCAGAACTGGCTGTGCTTTCACACAGGAGTCTGTAACTGATCCGTGGCTGTTTACTACAGTACAAACAACATTTATCCATTATTTTGATTTCAAATCCAAACATTGTTACTTATGCTTTTTCAGCATTGTGATTCTTTTTTTTACACAGTACAGTAATACAATCATTCATAGACGTTTATGAAACACAATAAATATAAGCAACACATTATTCAATGCTTTTTACTTTTGCATTTACTTCTAGATTGATATATTAAGTTGCTCAAGTGGCAAAAAATTTAAACTACGTCAGCTCTACTGCCTTTTCTTTTGCATTTAATTCTTTATTACAAGCAATCCTGCGGTTCATAAAGAACTTTGTTTCCTTACCTCCACGAGTGGCATCTATTATTGCCTTGTTTATCTAAAAGTGCTCTTTCCCTTTAAACCTAGCCAAAAAGCCATATGTTGACTGTGAAACACAGTAGACTTTAATTATATGCATTTATGGTGTAATTACTA